CAAGTACCTTGTCTAATTTCATTTTTAAGGAATTGTGAGAAACAACAAAGTAGGGAATGTAAACATAGGTAATTTGTGACCAAAGGAATCCCACTGTCTGTTTTTTCCAGGCAAATGCTGTACATACCTTTGTTTTCTTCAAATGTTTCCTTGGCATCTTCTGTCTGTGTTTCTTTGGGAAGTACAGGTGTTGCTGGCTCTGTTCTCTCACCTAGAGAGAGACATATAGGATTGGGAATGTGGTTGAAACCCAGCTGTGCTATTAGATCTTGTCATGTTCAAAATGGGATGCAAAAAATGGTGTAGCAATTTGGCCAGTGGCATTTATAAACATAGAAAAGTAAAGAGTTGAACTTGATGCTGCAGAAGTTTGTCCTCATCTTCTTGGTGAGATCCTTGCTGCCCGGGATCAGACAACAAAACAACCAATAAGAAGCTGGTACTTCTTATAAAAAATACTAAGGTGCCAAGGAGAAAACCAATGACTTACTTCTAGGACTATAAATAATCAGCATGGTTCATTTCTTGTCTTATTAAATTATTCCCTTCATACTGTCAGTAACAGTAACATCCCAAAATGAACTTGTAACTATTGATTTTCAGTTTTGAAGACGTATATAACAACAGAAAGTAGGAATAAAGTAGTAGTTGTTATGGCTGGTTGTGGTGTAGGACTAAACTGTCTGGGTTAACATAATGGCCTTGAATAATGGCCTGTTGAATAATCTGGTTGTAAATCCATTAAGAGAGTATATAAAACAGCCTAAATTAGCCCAAATTTTAAATAACAGCCTTACCTCCAAGCCTTGTAGAAGGAGCTGTTGGTTTTTCTGCAGCAGAAAAAAAAAAAACAAAATAGTAACTAAATTTTTCTTTCATCTGAATAAAATTAGATTATGACATCCATTGTTACCAGATTATTTGCCGTTACCTGATACCAAGGGCTAGTTAAATCAAAATTACTTCTGCATAAAGACTAACTTATCCCCCAGCTTTAATTTGGTGCTTGCAGTTTCAACAATATCTCCTACTCCCTGTTACACCAGTCCTGGATTTTTTTAAAAGCAATCCAAGATTATTTTATCCATATGTAATGTGTGTAGGTATTAGAGAGGAAAAAACACTGATCTCCAAGCAATGAAAATAGTTGGGGGATTGTGCAGCTCAAAGACAGAGACTGCTGATCAGCTCTGAGCTACTTTAAATACATCTAAGGGCCTCAGGAAAGTGTGACTCAGATAAGCCATGCCAAAGTTTTCCCTTTGCTTGACCTCTTTTCTTGGCAGTGAGTCTCATATCAGTCAGATATCTTGAGGTTCATGGGGATGTGTAACACTGAGATTTTTAAAAGTCATTTTCCCAAGATCCAGATGTCAAATTTATTCTGGTTTCAGAAAATTTTAATTATTAGGCAGGGAGGGAGGAAGGAGAAGGGAGAGAGAGAGAATAGAGGGGATGCTAATGTATTTAAATAATTTTTTAAAATCCACATCTGTAGTGCCTACTATATGAAAAAAATGATTCTAAGTGATTTATAAGAACAAATTCAGTTTTGACAGCTTTATGAGGGAGTTTCATTATTATCTTGGTTTTGTACTTGAAGAAACCAAGATATAGGTAGATTGAATAATTTGCAAATTCATAGCTAGTAAGTAACTGAACCAGGATTTCAACAAAATAAATGAAAATACAATAGTAATGAGACAAAATTAAAATAGTAAGGAGATATAATTGTGCCAGACAGTGAAGAAACAATAGCAAATAATCTTGGACTTTTAAGGTGCTTATATTCTACCGGATGGACAGAAATCTGGATACACAGAATATTAATATAAATTTCATGTTACATTAATATGCATAATATAGCAAACAACATTTCATTGTCTAATTATATTATCTTTCCAAAGTGCAGAATCACAGTAAGCATAGCCCAGCTATGCACCATTTCCATCAGTCCCAGAACATTCATCTTCTGAGCGTCTAATGATTTTTTCTCTGATTTTCCCTAAATATTCTTGTGCCTTTAGCATACTTCAGAAATAATCAGATGTCCAGCTCTGGCCAGCAGGTCACCTATTCTGCGTGACCACATGCTTGAATCTAGGAATAATATCATTTACCCCGTCCCTGCTACTGTGATAACAGGATGCATGCCATCTTGTGAGAACCACAGAAGTAATCTTCCCAAGAAGCGGCTAGGCATGGATGTTTCCAGACTGAATGCCAGCCACACAGTGAAAGGGACAAATCTGGAAACAGGCAGTTAAAGAACTGTGTGAGGAGAAGCACCTGTCCTACTTTTCAGGGGTTCTGAAATCTTTCCAAAATAAATTATTTTTTTAACTTTCTATTTTGAAATAATTTTAGGTTCATGAGAATTTGCAGGAACAGTAGAAAGAAGTCTCATGTGTCATTCACTTTGTCATTTGATCACATTTCTGTGTCTACCAATTTATTTCTATATCGTTACATATAAGAATGTATTCATGTGTACATACTTACATATATTACATTTTTCCACAGTAAACTGCAGACATTGTGCCTGTTTATTCCTAAATACTTCAGACTATATTTAAGAAGGGAGAGGAGCATTCTGTAGGTATCCACAATATAATAAATCAACATTGATATAAGATTGGTATGTAGTCTACAGTCTTTATTCACTTTCTGTTAATTCTAACAATGCCACTTATAGGACACCATCATCTTCACTGTCACCACCTCTACCATCATTATGATCCAGGATCCAACTCAGGATGACTTGCTTCACTTAGCTGCTGTAAGAGAGGGTGACGTTTAATTTGCGCCTGAAGGGTGAGAATGAGTTGGCTGGGAAAGGGTGAGGGGTGTTCCGTGCAGGGGAACAGCACTGAGTGCAGAGGTGTTGCAGTAGGATGGGAGAGAAGCAGCAGAAGGATACAAGCTCTGATCATGCCGACCCTTTCCTTGCAATGCTATATGGTATGAACTTATTCTGAGGATAAGAAGCCACATAAAAGCAATGTGCTAGTTATTCTCCGTATACCCTCCTCCCTTTACTGGATCCAGGCTCTGTGTCCTGGAAGGCTGCTTTCTACCACCTACTCTACTGGGAATCCCTTGTCCTTTGCTTTCTGAGTTATTCGATGAAAGGCAAAAGCAGGAGATCAGAGGGTAAGAGGAGAGAAAAGTCACTATATTTATTCTTCATCACCTTCCCGTGTCACTATGGTTTGCTAGGAGGTACCTTCCTGTAGGTACTTTGCCATCTCTTGTTTTTTGCCTACACTACTGAAAATGTGCTTTTTATTTAAACTCTTTGAGAGTATCATCTTTTCTGTCCAGAACTCAGTCTAAATAATGTAGGCAATGGCAAACATGATGAAGAATATGATTTCTTTTTAGAAAGGTATCATTTTATTTAAAAAATATAAAATGCTGTTAAATCAAATTTCAAAATCTCTATTTCAAAAAATGTTAAAGAAGCACACACATTTAAACCATAGTGCTAATAGAATGTAGTTAACAAAAGTGAAGAGAAACCAGTTTGTAACTCTGATCTCACTGCTTTAAGAAGGTGACTGGCTAACTAAGCCAGCCTATCTTTATAAGCTCCTGCCTGGAAAACTCTGCATGATGGGAGGACCAGGTTCCTGAGAAAGTAATTCATCTGATGGTGTGAGAAGGGAAAAAAAATTTTTTCAGCAGCAAAAACTTGCCCAAGCAGAGTCCAATTTAAACCATTTTAAAATGACAGTGTTACTTAGTCTCAAACTAGATAAAACCAAGTCACTCTACTGCTATCAGGAAAGAATGCAGAACTGGGGCCAAGCAGTTGGCCTCAGGGAAGTGAGAAACTTTAGGGATGGATTGAATCAGCAGAAGTTTAAATATAACTCCATTCTATAAAAGAGTCTGGAAACCTTGGCAATGTGAGACTATGGCTATAAGCCGGTCCAAGACCCTTAAAGGTCTAGAAGCAAATCCAAGTTAGTTGGCAAGGCATACACAGAGGCACTGGTCTGGGAGATTAAGCTTGTTCACCAAAGCATCTGCCATCTCTACCAGTGCCAGAGAAATCGGTGCACTTTATCATTTGCTTTCCCTGGTTATTATTGTGTTTCCTTAAATGATTAAAAAATCTCACATGACTGTTAGAGAATTTGTAGGAAAAATGGTCAGGTAATTCCAAACTCCTACAACAACCTCACATTTGGAACAAGTAAGAATTTGTGTTTTTAAAAGAAGATAACAAGTCTTTCATTTCACACTAATATTAGATCCTTCTTTTTTTCCATCCTTTCTCTTAGCATCTGAGACTTTCCCTTTGCTAAAATTACTCTTGAGTGAGGAATTGTCACTGCATGTCTCTTTACAAGAATTCTCAAAGTTTAGCAGTGCCGGAATTTGTAATAAACTTTCTCGGTGACCACATAACAAATTCTTGGCACTAGCAACTGTTTATAAAAGGAGAGGGGATGTTGAACAGTTAGTCACGTAGCTTGGGAGGGGATTCATTACCATCAGAGTATTTGCAAATGAAATTGTTTTTCATGTTGCATCGGTCATCATTCCACTGGAACATGTAGGGGCCCCCGATGCCAGCAGGTGCTGATGGCTGGTGGTACATGACCACACAGATCTCACTGCCACAGGAAGGCTCATCCACATACCAGTTCCTGTAGGAAAAGGATCAAGAATGGAGGCACAGGAGAAACATGCCAAGGCTTTCAAGCCTTCATTTTCCTATCAGGTTTCACTGAGTCGTGAACATAAGATGCTGCTTCAGAGCACAAGGAGATAGATGAGAATCGAAGCCCTGCTAATAACCAGAACCCCATGCTTTCTAATATGAACACCACAATCAATCATCTGATATTTACCACATCTTTACAGGGAAGAATGTTACCTTATGATGTCTGCAAAGTAGTTATGAGAAAAGCAGTGAACAGCGTCAGATGGATGGCCTACCTTATTTCTGTTTTGCTTTTTGCTAATTGGGTTTTGTTTCTCTTTTCTAGAGATCAGATGTCCCGAAGAGTCATGATGTATCTCATGCAGAATGAGCCCCTCTTCCATCTCATCTACTTTCTAACAGCCACAACTGCCTTCCCAGCCTGGCAGGCAGATGGAAGTTCAGGCATCTGAGCAAAACATCCCAAGATACAGCGGCTGTCAAAGCAGGTGAGGAAGTGGGTAAAGGCAGGAGCCATTTCCACTTGATCAGGCTGATAAACCCTTCAGCCTCCACTGCCAGATGTCTTATCTTTCTCTCTGTAGCTCTCTGAATAGGTGCATTCATATCCTTAGCTTCACTTTCCAGAGGTACCTGGAATTAAATGGTTCTGCCACCTAGTTGGGTATATGAGTGGCAGGTTAAAGTCTTGGATCCCATAGGGCAGTGTTGGCAAAGCTACAGCATACATGCCACAGCAGGCACACAAAGCCCTTTCTATTGGCACATGAGCCCAGTAGCTCCAGCAGTTAAGCATCAGTTAAGTTGTTTTTTCCAAATTAAAACTTCAGCATTTAATTGCAGTGTTGGCACTTTGAGATAAATAAGTGAGTTTCGGGTTGCAGTATGGACACTCAGTTGCTAAAAGGTTCACCATCACTGCCATAGGGAGTCTAACTCTGCAAGCATCTACCGCACGTATTACTTCTGGCTCAGGCTTTGCAGTCTTTCTGATTTCCCATCTGAGTCGTTTTTCTCCAGGTTTGGCATCTTGCCCTGAAACCCAGACCACTTAGCTGGCACTGTTGCTTTGTCTCACTCTTGTCAGATTCCCTCCTAAGCAAAGAGATAGCTAAAAGAAAGGGCTCCTGGAAACACTACATATGGCTCTGCTTCAGTCCTGTGTTGTAGTCAGCCAAAAGGAAAATCATTTGTTGTACCCAGCAGGTATTTCTGGAATAGCTGGACTTGGAATGAGTATTTCTTGGACATTCTGCCTGTACTGCTGGGGGCCTGATGAAGGCTGAGCTTTGTGCCTCATTAATTACCTCCAGCCCATTTTCTAATTCCATTGGCCCTCTCCATTAACCTTATGGATTTATGTTATTTAGTCTCAAAGATAGATGGACTATTATGGCTGGCGTATACTTTTTGGACTTGAGCCAGTTTTCAGATTCAGAACTCACTGATTGAAGGAGAGCCCAGCGCCCAGGAGGAAAGACCCTGTCACATTGTGGCAGATGCACACAATAACCATTTCTCTTACCTTTTCCCCCAAGGACCCTCTGCATACTAATTCATAGCCATATCCAGGAGAAGGGGGTATAGCCAAATTTTACAGTGAACGTTTGACACACGGTTTAAGTTGACGCTGATACTCGGACTTGAACTGTCATCAGAGCTACTTTAGGAGAGTGGGAGCTGTGGGGGTCAGGTATTAAATAGAGAATCAGCTCATGGTAGGACCCAGCCAGTAGTCATTGTCCCGGTCCTCACAGTAATTGAAGAGACCTATTCGATAGGTGATGCAATTCTGCATTGGTTCCTTAGCCTATCACAGTTGAGGCCAAGTAGAAGCTTCTTAAGTTGCACTTCTCGCTACCCCATCCAAGGCACTAAATAAAAAATATCTTATCCAGGAGAAGATGGCAGAAAATAATTCACCCTGAAGATCTAGAATATGCAGGACACTGTTTCCCATCGTATCTCTATTTAATTCACTAGTCTAACTCCTGCAAAAATCAGGCAGATCTTAAGAATGATAATAGAGTAGCACATACTCGACCCAGTACAATCCCTGATTGTAGTTGCTGTGTCACATATAATACTTTGGGTATTTAGTATGCAGAATCTGGTGAACATCTTTTTTAAAAGTCTGTATCAGAACGAGAACAGTTTGTGTTCCTAGAGAATGGACAACAATATACCCTCATGGTCTTGCCTCAAGACTATATTGATTTTTCTCACCTTGCATCATAATATGGTATGAAGAGGCCTGGATTTCTAGACAGTCTGTGTAAAATCACATTTACCATTATATTGCTGACATCATGCCAATTGGAGCAGATGAGCAAGAATCAGTACATTGGATGCCCTTAGCTTACTAAGGGTTAGGGTTAGCTCACATGCTTCCCAGAGTGGAAGGTAAGCCCCATGAATATTCAAGGGACTTCTACTTCATTAAAATGTACCAGTGTCCAGTGATCTACAGAATGCTGTAACATCCCTTTCAAGTTAACAAATTGTTCTTTTTTTTTTTTTATATCGGTTCTGGGGATCGAACTCATGCCCGCCTGCTTGCAAGGCAGGTGCTTATGCCGCTGAGCTAAATCCCCAAGTTAACAAATTGTTATATCATTCAATAATTTGAAGAAAGGAGGTGGCTTGGCAGGTTGCTTGAAGTTCTAGGAGCAGGATATTTCTCACCTGGGAACAGTGCTGTGGCCCAGATATCAGCTGACATGAAATTTGGTCAGCTTTGAGTGAGATTCAGTGCAGAAAAGGACTCTGAAACAGGTTTTGGAGCAGACTTGCAACTTGGCCCCATATGATCCATCATACCCTTTTATAAGTATTGAAAGCATCACAGGGTAGGGTTCTGGAGCAAGGCCATTCCATCTGTAGTTGAGAAGTAGTCACTTAAAAAAAAAACTCATGGTTTTCTACTAAGTAAGGAGCATCAACCAAGAAATGGTGTAGCCCAACCTGCCTGTCATGAGTTACGTGATGTCAGGCAAACCTTATCAGAAGTTGGCGAGGCCATAATTAATCCATTGTAAGATAGAAGAGGTCTGTCTGTCTAGCACCAAAGGGCCCTGTGTAACCAGGGAGAGCACACTGTCCTGCTAGCTACTATTGCTGTTCCAGAGCTCTTCCCTCAGCTCACACCTACAGTGCCTGCAAGAGTCCCTTATGACCAGCTGATGTAGGCAGCCTAAACTTGTTTCATGGCTGGGCCAAGCTAACTAAGGGTGAACAAACTGCAGTGGACAGCAGCTGCACCGCATCTGCACTCAGAGGTGGCCTTGGAAGATTCTGGTAAGGCGACGCTCTCCCATTGGCCAGAGTTTTAGTTGATGCATTGGGTTAACCACCTTCTATCGAAATAGAAGTTATTGGAAGTTAGATGTATAAAAACTCAGGGGAAAAGCAAATAGCATGGCCAACCAATAAAAGGGAAAGGGCTAAAATATTGGGGATAAGGAATGTCTGCAGAGAATGATGTGCACAAATGTATAGGGATGAACATAAGTGAAAAATTTTATGTCATATGTAAACCTCACCAGGGAGCAACTATCGAAGTGACACTCAACAGCCAAGGAGCAAAATGACTCTGATAGGTGATGCTAGCCATCCTGTTGGCAGCCACCCCAGCCACCTGAGTACCAGTAAAATAGATATGTGAGTGCAATAATCACAGTGGGAGGAGAGTGGAGGTTACACATGGGCACAACACATGGCTCCTGATCACCAACACTGATCTGGACACTACTCCTGCCACATGTCCAGCCTTCCAGAAGTAGGGAATCAGTGCTGTCTCTGACAGCACAAACACTTGAAGAAACCAACATGGCGAGTTAAGTACATTGGAATCCTGAAAGGATAATGATACATTTTGGTAGGAACAGATGCATAGTCTGGGAATGGGTTTGCCTTTCCTGCCATAGGGCCTTAGTCAGCCCTGCTATCCAAAGGTATACACAGTATTTAACTCATCAAAACAGGATTACAAATAACATCTTATCGGACAAAAGACCTACTTTATACTAAAGAAGGTGTGGGAATAGGTGCTTGGCCATGGGTTTTACTAGTCAAATCACAAATTGCACCACCCCAAAGCTCCCAGCTTGAAAGAGTGATGGAATAAAAAAAAAAAAAAAAGAGTGATGGAATAGCCTTGGTACTCACTTGCTGAATTGACAGTCAATAAGAAAGTGCATGAACTGTGGCCTGAGAAGTGGAAGGTGACTAGGCCAGAGATGGGGGTCTGGGGCAGGACACAAAGGCAGCCACTGGGACCAGAAGAGGTGGGGGGATCTGGACTGGGCAGGAGGGGAAGAAGGTCAGTAGGTATCAGTTATAGCCCTGGGACCAGCTGCAGTGACAGGAACTATAGTTTACTCTGTTAATCTTCCTTTTCAAAAAGAGCCTCAGGAAGGGAGGCCCATGAGAATACTAGACGAGGATCTGACTGACACGGTGGGTAGACATAGTGGGTACTGACGTTCTGTCTGAAATGTGACATTCTTCTTTTGACTGATAATGACTTTAGTTTCTTCATAATGATTTTATATTTATGTATTGTCTGCCTAGGTCTTTTCCCACTTTATCTTTTGAGAGTCTTAGTGCTTTATTGATTTATATAAACTATCATAAAAAGATATTAATTCTTTGTTAGAATTTTTACAGACATTTTCCTAGTCCTGTGTCTGTCTCCTAATTTTAATATATTTTCAATATTTAGGTGAGTGAGCATTAGTGTCTTGGGGTGGTGGATTTGGGAGATTCCCATAAACTGTGGCCTTCCTAAAGTCCCCACCCTTGGCCACTCCATGAAGGCTGATCTTGGGCTCAGATTTCTTGCCCATTATCACATTTCACTAAGGTCTGGAGTCCAGCTTTATGGACCTTCAGTCTCTTAATAGGTGTCATGGATTATGTCTGTGGCCCCCAGGCCTCCTGAGTTTGCACCTGCATTTGTGATTGGTTCATTGTCTAGTGCTTGGATTGATGGTGTCAGTGCTCCACCCACATAGGGGTGGAGCCAGGATGTGGTATAATGGCAGGAAGAAGGTGTGTCTTGCTCTTTTGCCGGTTTTTGCCTTGCTGTTTGCAGCTACCATGAACTGTGGCCCAGCCATGCCCGCCTGCCTTAGAGCCAACTGAGTGTGGACTGAAACCTCCAAAAACTGTAAGAAATAAACCTTTCCCTTCCCAACTTGGGCTTCAGGTATTCTGTCTCAGAGAGGAGTAAAAAGTAACTAAGACAATAGGGTTGCAGTCCAAAACATCAGATAGTCAGAATCACTGACTTCAAGCATTGTGTGCCATTGAACCTATTCTGCTCGGCTTTAGCCACCTGACTAGAACTCAGGTCATTAGTTTGGCCAAAGCCAAGGCTGAGCTCACTACCTTCGCCGTACTGCTCTGGTCAGTGGCTGTTACTATATGCTGGTTTCTGCCAGGCCTGTCTTTTCTCCTTCTCCATGGGTCCTGCACCGTGGATCTA